CAGACGGGAGTAGCAAGAAATATTCAAAGTGATGAATAGCAAGAACCTACAACCAAGATTACTCTACCCAGCAAGATTATTCAGAATTGAAGGGCAGATAAAGAGCTTCACAGATAAGAAAAAGCTAAAGGAGTTCATCACCACCAAACTAGTATTATATGAAATGCTAAAAGGTATTCTTTAAGAAGAGAAAGAAGATGAAAAAGGTAAAGGTAAAAATTATGAACAGCAAATACATATTTATCAACAAGTGAACCTAAAAATCAAGTGAATTAAAAATCTGAGGAACAGAATATACTGGTGAATATAATAGAATCAGGTGCATAGAAAGGGAGTGGACTGATAATTCTCAGGGGGAAAGGGGTATGGGAGGTGCAGGAAGAAACTGGACAAAAATCGTACACCTATGAATGAGGACAGTGGGAAGGGAAGGGAAGGGCAGAGTGTGGGGTGGGAACTGGGTGAAGGGGAACTATGGGGGGGAAAAGGAGAAACAACTACAATAATCTGAATAAATATTTATAAAAATAAAATAAAATCAATCAAAGTAAAAAAAAATAGTCTTTACAAAAACCCATTAAGATTTGGTGGCTGAAAGGATTATGTTCCTTTTCTAGGCCTGATGTAGCTTAAAAAGTTGTTTATATCTATATCAATAATGGCTTGCAAAAATTATCAGAAGAGGATTTTGCAATTGGTCTTGTTGATGAAAAAGACCTTAATGTTATAATAGGTATAGTTTTTAGTCAACTCTGAAACAGGAGAAGCTTTGATAGCTCAGCCACTTCATGTGAAGTGATTTTTTAAAATAATCATTACTGAAACAAAGGCTTATTTTAAGAATCATTTGAGCAAAATGGGCAGGCATGTCAAGAGCTTAATGATAGAACCCTGCCCTCCCAAACGGAGTTTCAGGAAATTGTGATCTCTCATAGAAAGGGGAGGTTTTCAAACATGTGAATTAAGTGCTCATTAAAAATAATTTTTTTTGGAAGAACATGAAACACAATGTTAATGGGGGTTATCCTATCTAATAAAAGAGTAATAGGCAAATTAACCATCACTCCACTACACTCACAAGCCATGCCCACCAGCCAATCAGGAGCAAATATGCAAATAAACCCAACCAAGATGGCTACAGCCACAGAGAGCAGGGGGGAGGCTTGGGTTTCCCCAGCAACGGAGGAAGCCAAGCTTTCCACACACCCTGGCCAGCCCAGGCCTCCACTCCAGGCTACAAAGTTTCAATTATAGAAGATAGATAAATCCCAACAGAAATGGGTGCTGCCATGGAACAAGCAGGAGGCTTGGCTCCACTCAAGGCTACAAAATTTGAATTGTAGAAGATAAATAAGCCCCAGATACTAGGACCTCCCATTGGTTCACCAGGGGGCATGGCCAGCCTGCAAACCACCACTGGTGCCTCGTCCAGGACACCCTACACCCCAGAGGAACCCCCACCCTGATGTGGGGCATCCTTCGGGGCAAACCATGCACAGACCTCTATCCTATCTAATGAAAGAGTAATATACAGATTGACCATCACTCCAACATACAAGATGGCTGCCCCCATGTGGTCAAAGATCCTGCTCCCATGTAGACAAAAGATGGCCACTACAAGATGGCCAACAGGGCAGTTGGAATAAACCAGGCCTGCAAGGGAGGGCAGTTGTGGGCGATAAGGCCAGCAGGGGAGGACAGTTAGGGGCAAACAGGCTGGCAGGGGAGCAGTTAAGCATCAATCAGGCTGGCAGGGGAGTGGTTAGGGGGTGATAAGGCTGACAGGCAGAAGCAATCAGGAAGAAAAGCAGGCAAGCAGTTAGAAGCCAGCAGTCTTAGACTGTGAGAGGGATATTTGACTGACCATTTAGGTCCACCACGATAGGGTCTAAATGGGCAGCTGGACACCCCTTGATGCATCCCAGATTGGAGAGAGAGCAGGCTGGGCTGTCTTGTGTCTTGCATGAATTATTTTTATAATAGAATAAAATAATAAATACTACCTTTTAACGCAAATAACCTATCAGATTGGGTATCCTGCTCATTTTTGTAATCCTCAGTATGTGGAATCTTATTTTTAATTGTAAATTATATAGCGACTTTAGATTTTATCTTTGCAGTTAGTATTTTCTTACTAATTTAATTTAAAGAAAAGACTTCCTGCCTTTGACTATTACTATAATTAAACTGGAATTTGAATGTAAAAAAAACAAAAACAAAAACAAAAAAAAACAGTAAAAAGGGATTCTACTGCCTAAATCCTCAGGGTTCACATGATGGGTAAGTAAATTTATCACAATAAATTTGCAAGAACCTACTTCAATTAACCTTTTGGGGAGAGGAGTTTCTTTTTTTCTTTTTCTTAAAAAAAATTGGTGCAAGACAGTGACAAAACCAAATGCTGACAAGGATGTAGGGGAACTACATCATGCATATGTTGCTGATGGGAATGTACAATGGAACAACCACTCTGGAATACTGTTTGTCAGTTTCTTCAAGTACTAAGTCTATACTTACATATGACCCAGTAGTTGTACTTGTATGCATTTATCCAGAGAAAGGAAGACTATGCTCACATAAAATAAACTGCACATCATTGTTTATAACAATGTCATTAGCAATAGCAAACAACCAAGACATCCTATAGAAGGTAGATGGTTAAACATGGTGTGATATACCCATACCATTGAATATTATTGATAGAGAGAGGTATTGCTATATGATTCTGTGCATTAATAGATCTCAAAGGCATTGAGCTGAGTGAAGAAAAAAAGAAAGTGAATCTCAAAAGGTTACATGTTTTTATAAAACATTTTTGAAATGACAAAGTATTGATATGGAACACAAAGTGTGCTTGCCAGGTTAAGGATAGTAAGGGAGGATGGTGACTATAAAAGGGTGGCATAAGGGAGATATTTGTGTTAATGAAACAGTTCTATATTCTGATTGTGATGGTCATTACAAAAATGTACACATGTGATAAAAAGAAAAAGAAATATATACACCTTATACCATTGTAAACTGACTGCTTTTGACATATAACTACTGTTACATAAAATGTAACCACTAGATGAAGCTGATTAAGAGTATAAAGCACCGCTCTGTTCAATCTTTGAAACTTCCCACAATTCTATAACTATTTCAAAAATTAAAAATGGGTGCACACCCAAAGGTCTGAGACCTCTGGTAGGATCTTCTAAAATCTCTACTACAAAAGACCACCCTCACATTTTAATGGCCCCAAAGGTAAGCATAGTTCTTATTTTATCAGGGGACTTGGAATTCAAAGATGAAACAATCACACAGAAAATTACAAACTTCATCGTTATCCCAGACATTGGTATTCCTTTCCCATCCATCTTCATCCCATCTCCTGGCCTTTACTTTGAGTTTATAATTCTCCTCTCAGTGACCTATACTCTTCTCCAAAATCACCTTCCCTCATGTGAGTTAATGAAATGTCCAATGGAGGAGAGATTTGTGAGCAGAAAAGCTTTCCAAATTCTGCTCTTAACCATCTCCTGCCCATGCTGCACCACACAGACACCCCTCTCATGACACCCCAGGCTCTACGCTTCTGTACTCACTTTGTAAAATAAACATTCCAGGAACACAACTAACATTTGCAAAGTACTATGGTTTAAATAGGACTTGTAACCAAAGGATCTCATGATGCTTGTTAGACTGGAGAATACATAAAGCAGGAATCTATTTTCATCCATTTTATTTTTTAATTTTAATTTTTAATATATTTTTATTGATTTCAGAGAGGAAGGGAGAGGAAGAGATAGAAACATCAATGATGAGAGAGTATCATTGATCTCATTGATCAGCTGAGTCCTACATGCCCCCTACTGGGGTTTGAGCCCACAACCCTAGCATGTGCCCTTGACAGGAATCTTCCAGTCTGTAGTCCAATGCTCTATCCACTGAGCCTAACCAGCTAGGGCTTCATCCCCATTTTCAGAGATGAGATAACTTGGACCCAATGAAGTAACTTTTCATGTTCAATAGAGATAAATAGTTAAGTAACAGAATAGGGATTTAACCAAATCTCCTGATTCCTAATCCTAAGCAATGTCAAAATATTCCATCCAAATTAACACCGCATTCCCAATCTGGTAATAGACATTTCATAACAGGAACCACTAGCACAAATAGAAGGCAAATAGTTGATTCAACTGAATGGTCTGATGCCATCTAAAGCAGAGGCTCTCAAAGGCTTGCCTAATCCTGAAAGCAGTAATGTGTCTAGTGGATCTAAATAGAGCTTTCAAAAAAGAAAGTCAGTATGCACCTGTATGTGGTTAAAGTAATCAGCTGGCATGGCAAGGCCTAGAAAAGAAAGCAGATTGTTTACTTCAGCTAGCTTTACTGCTTTATGCAACTCACCACCCAAGTCTGTGAAGAAAGGGCACAATCATGGTGCTATAACCAAGGCTGAATTCAAATTAATTCTATTGGATCCCTAACTCTCCCACATCTTGGCCAAGAAAAAGAACACCATAGCAAGGCTGAACACAGAAAGCTCAAGAAAACATCATTGTAACCTCATTTTTAATCTGCAATTCTCCTCTAATCTATTCTTTCCAGCTGGAGCATGGCTGGGACTTTTCACCCTTGACCAATATGCAGGCAATAATTTTTTTTTTTAAAAGCTACATAACAGGAAAATTAATCACATGAAAGATAGTACTTTTGAGAGCAGCAAACAGAAATGCAGATTAAATGACGCCAGGACTCCTCACCCCAAAAGAATAGTTTTCAGATTAAAAGACTGAGAATCTGACAATACATAAACAACAACAGCAAAGGAGTTTTACTAGGAAAAGTAGAAGAGCAAGTAAAACTCATGATCTTAAAGCTGCTGAATTACATAATCATTTATTAGTCATAACCTACTTTTTGATTCAAAGGAGTTCCTAGCCACATTGTGCCCGGTTTCTAATAGGATCAGGTTACTGCAGGACAAATAAAAGGGAAGATTATAAAATTCTTACCAACACGATATTTTAGTTCTATGGTGGTTTCGCCTTCTCTAGTTAATTCTGTTACTTCACATGTGTAGTTTCCTGGGACAGCTTGGGACTTGTCCATCTTCAAAGAGGCAATGCCACTCAGTAGTGCTTCTGGAACGATGTATGCACTTGAGAAGTTGCTATTGCTGGGCTTAGATTCATTTTTCTCTCCATTATAGGAGAAAAAGTATATGTCTCTGAACTTCCACTTTACAAACATTTCTCTCAGGCTCTTTGCCTCCACATTATTAACGATACATGGAATTACAACAGTTTGATTGCAAGTGGTGTAGTCTACAAATTTGGTTATATTAAATATTAGCTGAGCTGAACCTGGAAAAGAAAAAGAAAATAGTTTCATGTCATTATAGAATTCTATAGCATAAGACCTTAGGAATGTTACAAATCCTTAAGATAAAAGAGCACGGTTTTAATTGTCCCCTTAAGTTAGCAGTGCAACTATAGAGAGAAGGCCAACCAGGTGAAGAAGAGAAACAAGTTATTTTAATATTAAGATGAACAGATGGTAGACACCATAGTAACTTTTCCTTATTCATTTTCAGTAATACAAGGAACATGCAGATGTAGTATTTGGCATCAGAAAGAAGCTTTGAAGTCATCATTGTTGCTCACTGATATTCATAGAAAAATATTGTCCTTACCATGGGAAATTTTGAACAGAAAATCAAACCAAATATTATATTCAGTCTCAACTTCTATATACTGCCTCTAAACAGAACTTGGTAAACCCATATGAAGAGTATCTCTATCTTTAGGTTGCATTTTCAAGCAATGTGGTGAGATATACTGGACTTTAATATAAAAAGTAAATAGGATGAACCACATCACATCTTTCCTCTAAGATGGAAAGTCTTAGAATGCTAAAGAGAAAAAAATATTCTCTGTGGCTATTTCCCATTGCAATATACATTCAGCATGCAAATACTATAAAGAATTATATACAACTGAAATGTACTTTCTCACTCCCGTATTTTCATTGAAACTATAGAACAATTTTCAAATGCATATTATAGGTATTCCTTCTTCCTAAAAACCATAAACCACTCAAAATAAAGCTAAGAAACAAGTTGAAGACAAGAATAGATACTGCTAATAAATACAGTATATTCTATTAAACACTTCTCAATAGGATAAACTACCAGTTGTCTTACAAAATAGGGATTAGGAAGGTAAATGCAATCACTCATCTTCCATCTAATATGTTTAAAATTGTGGAGAAATTATAGTTCTTCCCATATTTTTCAGCCATTTATCAACTATTTTATCTAGGTAGGTAGTTGGACTTTCCCTGAAAACAAAACAAAACAAAACACAAAGCACTAACAAATACAAATATCAGTTTTAATAGTTCATCCTTACAGTTCTTTCTTCTAAATAAACTGGGAATAAAATTCAGGGGCTTAGAATGTTATTCAGTTATTATTCTAGGAACATAGTATTTGGTAAATGCCCATTTAATTGAATGCTAGGATGTATAGTGAAATAGGAACTGGACAATGTTCAGAGAGCCTGAGTATAAATTCTATCTGTCACTTGTCAGTATGTGACCTTAAGCAATTCACATAACTTTTCTATGCCTCAGTTTACTATCTGCAAGTAAAGGATCAGAAATGAACACCAAACTACTTCACAGAATTATGGCAAGTATCAAAGGAGCAAATACATGGACAAGTGCCCTCTATTATAGAATATCTGATTCTATAAGGACTGTGCCTTTCACTGTTTGATTGTGCTATACATATGCAGGTAAAACTCTAAAAACTGGGCAAAAGAGCATTTTTATGCAATGATCTAGACTCTAGAGCAAGCATGTCAAACTCATAGCCCACAACAAATATTTTTGTAGTCCAGTCAATATAATGATATGTAGGAAATGTTTTAATAAAAATTTTGTAACTTAGTTTTTATTATATTGTTTTATACACAACCAGAGGCTCGGTACATGAAATTCATGCATGGGTAGGGACCCTAGGCTTGGCCGGCAATCAGGGCCGATCGGGGCCTTCCTTCCCTGGCTGTGGACCAGGGCCTTCCTTCATTCTGCACCACCCCCTGGTGGTCAGTGCATGTCATAGTGAGCGATCAAATTTCCAGTGGTTTGAACTCCTGAAGGGACAATTTGCAGATTAGCCTTTTATTATATAGGATTCTTAATAATAAACTACAATATAATGTTTGCTAGTAACTGGTTACTATAATGGTGTTGCATTCATTTCCCTCAAGCACCTTATGTGCAGTTGCACCATTTCTCTCCACTAATACTAGCAGCGAATATTTTAGCAGCCTATTGCCACATCATTAGTCTTATACTGACTTGTTTGGTGTACAGAACAGGAAATATTTCACTTTCAGAGAACAAGAAAAATAGGTTTATTTGCAGTATGCTTATTGATTTCCAAATGACTGACCAGCAGTTATGCAGTGTCTGGTAAGTTAATGTTCAAGAAAAAAACATTATTTTTATTGAAATGTTCTATTATTTTATGTTAACAATTACTCATTCATTTTAGCCCTTTGTATTCAGCATGTCTCTACTGAAATAAACCTACAATTCTATGAAAATTGAAGCTTGTGTTATTTTGCAGCTCACATAAACTTAAACCTTATTTATTTGGCCTGTGTTAGCCTTTGGGTTTAACTTGCTTGATCTAGACCTTCTCTGACTGGGGGGGTGCAAATTGATATGTATAAGGGAATTTTCAGTCTGAACCAAGCTTGAGGTTCACAAGCTCACTTCTTCCCAGTTCTCTACACTTCTAACCATCCTAATAGTAGGATACCCCAGGCAAAAGCTGGACTTCCAATTGCGTTTTTTTTAAACCTTAGGGTTATGAATTATTTCCCCTGAGAAAGAAGCATTGAGGGGGAGGCTTTCGTGCACAAGGAGAGAAAACGTGGTTTTGATGTTGGAATTATTGTAGAAAAGAAGAAAAGTGTTAGAAAATACGATGAACAATTTTGAAATGAACAAAAGGATTACTGAGTGTCCTTTCAGTGGAACATTGGGATTGTCTTACAAATCCTTTGGGGATATCTGATTCTATAAGGACTGTGCCTTTCACTGTGCTTGATGGAGCTATTTTATAATTTTATAGATTGTAGAAAACTGAGAGTAATGCAAATGATTCATGTCCATAGAGAGAAATGTTGTTGTGCAATTTATTTCCACCTGGAAAAAGAGAGGATTTTAAAGGTTTTTTTGTTTGTTTGTTTGTATTCTTTTTTAATTTTCATACTTTATTTTTTAATCTTTATTATTAAAAGTATTACATATGTCCCTCTTTCTCCATTGTTGACTCCTTCTAGCCAACTCCCACCCAAGCCTTCACCACCCTATTGTCTGTGTCCATGTGTTATGCATTTATACATACAAGTACCTTGGTTGATATGGAAGACGGGATTTTTTTAAAATTACATGTTACTGCCCTAAGAATGTTGACCAATTGCATATATTCACTAATTCATTACAGCTTTCCTGGTTGCCAATACATGTGTTTTTCCTTCCAACTTTATTTAAAAGCCAAGATGGTCTTACTATCCTGCTAATTTGCTTATTAATGCATGAATTAATAACACATGATCATTTTATATTTAAGTCAAGATATTTTTTCTAAAAATTATCCTTTAATAAAAGATACAAGTGAAGTTTATCCTAGTAAATGTGTTTAAAATGCTCTTGGTAAGTAAAAAGTGGTTGGCAAACACTCAATAATTTCACAACTTATGCTTAGAGAATGGATTTCCAACAGAATACAGGAAGAACTAATTGCACTGCCTTATTTGCTGTAACATGCAAAATCTTATAGCTAAAGCCATTTAAAAACTAGTCAAATTAGTGCTGGTAATAAAATTGACCTGGAAAAATCATAACTTGAATAACCCTTGCACTATGTATACTAATAAAAGGGTAATATGCAAATTGGTCACGATGCTCTTACTTTAACAACCGAACAGCAGGCTACGTGGGGTGACCAGGCCAACAGGGAGGTTAGTGAGACACAAACAAACAACTGGCTAGCAGGCGGTATGGAGCAACCAGGCTGGCATGGGGGGTTAGCAAGACAGGTTCAAATGACTAACCAGCAGGCTGTGTGGGTAACCAGGCTAGCAAAGGGAGGCAACCAGGGGTAAACAGGCCAGCAGAGGAAGGCAGTTGGGGGTGACCAGGCAGACAGGGCAGCAGTTGGGTGTGACCAGGCCAGTGGGGCGGCAGTTGGGGGCAACCAGGCTGGCAGGGCAGGCAATGAGGGGCAACGAGGCTGGCAGGGGGTGCAGTGAAGGGCAACCAGGCCAGCAGGGGGGCAGTTAAGGGCAATCAGTCTGGCAGGCAGAGGGGTTAGGGGTGATAAGGCTGGCAGGGGGGAAGTTACGGTTGATCAGGCAAGCAAGCAGGTGAGCACTTAAGACCCAGTGGTCCCAGATTGTGAGAGGGATATCCGACTGCAGGTTTTGGCCCGATCCTTGGGATTGGGCAGAAACCAGCAGTCGAACATCCCCTGAGGGGTCCCAGATTGGAGAGGCAGTTGGGCCAAATTTTTTGCACTTGGTCTCTAGTCCTATCTAATAAAAGAGTAATATGCAAACAAACCACCAGCCAATCAGGAGCAAATATGCAAATAAACCCAACCAAAGTGGCTATGGCCACAGAGAGCAGGAGGGAGGCTTGGGTTTTCCTGGCAATGGAGGAAGCCAAGCTTTCTGCCTGCCCTTGCTGTCCTAGGCCTCCACTCGGCTACAAAGTTTCAATGATAGAAGATACATAAGTCCCAACAGAAATGGCTGCCACCACAGAGCAAGCAGAAGGCAAGGCTCTGCTCCAGGCTACAAAGTTTTAATTGTAGAAGATAAATAAACCCCAGATACCAGGGCCTCTGCTTGGGTCGCCAGGGTGCCAGGCCGGCCTGCAAACAACCACAGGTCCCTCACCCAGGCCGCCCCATGCCCCCAAGGAAACCCCCACTCTGATCCGGGACATCCTTCAGGGCAAACCAGCCGGCCCCCACCCGTGCACCAGGCCTCTATCCTATCTAAAAAAAGAGTAATATGCAGATTGTAATAGCCATCATTCTAACACACAAAATGGCTATCCCTATATGGTCAAATATGGCTGCCCCCATGTGGACACAAGATGGCCACCACAAAATAGACAACAAGGCAAGGCCGTTGGGAGGGACAAGCCCTGCAAGGGAGGGCAGTTGGGGGGCAATCAAGCCTGCAGGGGAGGGCAGTTAGGGGCAAACAGGCTGGCAGGGGAGCAGTTAGGCATCAATCAGGCTGGCAGGGAGTGGTGAGGGGTTGATCAGGCTGGCAGG